ATCCCCTTTTAATCAAAGAAAGTGATCAACATGGCTTTGACTTTTGACTAAAGGAGGTCATCAAGGGGACCCGTTTTGAAAAAAAAGGCCGTGGTGACAGAACTGTGGAGGATCACATAAGAATTCTTTCATTTTCATTCAGGAGTGCATGCGAGGGTGGCATAGAAGGATGGGAAAGTGCATAAGACTCCATTTAGGATTACTTTGAAGGGGAAAACTCTTCTTGGTTGTGAAGTTTTGAGTTTGAAATAAATCTTTTGTGACATCAGTCCTGGAACTTTTCTGACACACCTCGTATTTGGTAAGGAGAACAGGAGAAGAAGGATTATGCACCTTTTCCCGATCAAATATCAAAATAGAGAGCTCAGATGCAGCATTGAAAGCTGAAATTTCAAAATAGTCAAATTAACTCAACATAGAGAGTTCACATTCAATACTATGAAAAATGTAAGCAAACGTCAGCTCAAATGTAATCACAGGAGAGCTCAAATGTAAACATTAGGGAAATCAAATTTGTCATTGTCAGTTCAAATGCAGCCTAGGAAAGTTGAAATTCAATAATGCGAAAAACTGCAAAGCTATTTTGAATTTGAACTCTCTATTGTTAAAATTGATAGCCCTATTTTGATATTTGAGCTTCCCTGGGGTAACATATTTTGCTCTCTATTTTGATGTTTGAACTTTCTATGTTGAAGTTGATTTGACTATGTTGAAAAAATTTGGTTATACTTCATCAATTGAACACTCTATCACTTGATCGGGAAAAGGGGTAGGGCCTATAATGTATTCCTGTGCGTCCACAGATCTGCAACACATGCCAGCGGCCTATCACTGCCGATGCCCCAGGGGTCACTCACGGAGACTTCCACTGGCACGCTTGCCCGCACTGCTTCAGGTACTGCTTTGTCTCAAGTCAAAACTTGGTCAGATTTTGTGTTAAAGGAAATATTATTGGTGGTGGTGTTGGTTACAAAATGACGTGATCCTGAAAATTGTATCGTAGGAGATTATATTGAAGAAAATATTTAACTATCTTATATCTTTCCTTTCATTATTTTAGACAATTTGACAGGTTTTTTTAAGGGATGGGGGGG